TTTGTCCCTCTCAGGCCAACCCACCTCACAGGGTTGTTGTTGTGGAGAAAATAGGAGAAGAAAAGCGTGTTGGATATATTCACTGCCTTGAATTATTATTTAAAAGGTGGGATATAAACAAATCATAAACCAAGGCGGTGGCACCTTTAAGGCGCTTAAGAAAACAACCAGAGCTTCCAGGGCTTGTTCAGCAGAAACAAACCTTGGAACTACTGCTGGTGGGTTCTCAGTGCTTAAAGGGATCCTGGATGGTCACATGTCAGAGAAGCTGTAGTAGTGCTGCGCTCTGCCAGGGGTTGGACTAGATGACCTTCAAGCATCCCTGCACTCTGGGATTCCAGGTCTCCATTGGACGGCAGAAACTAGACGGCTGACTCGATGGCATTGAGCCAATGTTCTCCCAATAGAGAAGCGCAAGCCCCCCCCCCCCCCCCCCCCCCCGAGGTCCGTTCTCCTAAACTTCAAATTGGATATCGAGAGGGGCATCTGCATAAATATTTTAAATAAATAAATAAATATTTACTGCTAATCCGGGTTGGGAGATCAAGTCGCTTTTCTACCCACAGCTCAAAACAAAACAAAACAAAACTACAAGAAGTCCTGCCAAATGTTTACTCTCGTAACCGGACAAACAATCCAAGGGGTTTGTTTTGACTCTGGAGGTGACATCCTGCTTTCCTTGAATCCGTGGCTCCATGCAGAGTCAGGACAATCAAGGTTTCCTTTGAAGCTGCAGGGCCACGCCGCCACACCTTCCTTAAGAATTGGGCAGGTCCACCTCCTCTGGCTGAGCTGCCTTTCCCTCAATGATGTCACTCTTTAAGTGACAATCTTACTGGATTTAATTCAGGAAGTGCCAAAATTAAAAGTTTCTTTGTAATCCAGGCTGCAGTGGGTGGGCGAGTGTGAAGCCTGTTTTCTTTTAGGATCTAAAACCTTGGCCCCTTTAAGATGGGTGGACTTCAACTCCCAGAATTCCCCCAGACAGCATTGTTTCTCAGCCTTGGCCCTTTAAGATAGGTGGACTTCAACTCCCAGAGAGTTATTGAATTCTGGGAGTTGAAGTCCATTCATCTCAAAGTGGCCACGTTTGATAAACATCGATTTAACCAATGAATAAATATAAGAGCAACCTACTAGGCCAGAGATCTCCAAACGTGGCCACTTTAAGACTTGTGGACTACAACTCCCAGAATTCTCCAGCCAGCATAGCTTGCTGGAGAATTCTGGGACTTGAAGTCCACAAGTCTTAAAGTGGCCAAGTTTGGGGACCTTTCTACTAGGCTGCCCTGTTGCAACTTATAAAAGTTCATAAAACACCTTTGCTGAAAGCATGGTATAGCATCAGTGGCTTAATTTATCCCTGCAGCTGGAGAAACACCCATTATTTCAATTTGGGTGGCAGTGCCGAAAGAAGAAGACAGTTCAACTAAAAGAACATGGCAATAATTAAAGGCTTGAGTTATATGAGATTCATATTCCAGTCCATTCTCATTGAGGGAATGGCTTTGGGTCAGCCCAAATTATCTCTCAGGGTGGTGACAGTTGAAAAGCAGGTTAATTGATTGACTCAGGTGTGCTACCCCATGTACATATTAGCTTGAAAGTTTTTTTTTTAAAGTAATATTTGCAATTAACAGTGCAGTCCTTGGGAGACATAATAAGATTATTAACAATGCTGGCCTTATTAGGGAAAAATTCCAGTGTAAAACCATCTGCCAATGTACTTAAATAAACTTTTAACAAATCAGGTGGTTAAAAAAAATGAGATGCTCATTGCTTTCTTCTTTAATTTTGGCATCAAGAGTCTGTTTCATATGGAAAATTTGAGCCATTTTCTAAAATTCAGAAGAAGGGGGCCCAAGAGGTGCACATTTCACACCTCACAAAGCTATGTAGAAGGAAGCAGATAAAAATAGAAAGGATAAGACGGTGATGGGTGCCTATTGTAGTAAATATAGAAAAATATGACAAATAAAATCTTAGCCACACAGAAACATCCTTCAGTTAGCAACATAAATATTGAGCTCAATTGTGGTTGTAAGTTGAGGACTACTTCATAAATAATCTTTTACGACAATAAAGGAGTGAGTTTGAAGGGAAAGAGGCTAATCCTGTACCTTCACTTCGAGACTTTAGAGCCTGTTTTTTCAATAAAGTGAAACAATCTTTTTAATTGCTCTCTATGCTTAGGGCATTCAGCGTTCTTCCCAATATACTAGGGTTTCAGTGTGTTAATTCAGCACCACGTCAATATGTCTAAAGAGCTTCTTTCTGTTCCCCCAAAAAGGCTATTAACCATAAAGAGAATTGTAGGACGAGCCCAAATCATATGTGTGTCTAAATAGGGTGGTTTTAAGATATAGTGATTTTTCAAACTGGACAATTTTAAGATGGGTGTGGATTTCAACTCCCAGAATTCCCCAACCAGCCATGCTGACTGTTAGAAAGGGTAGTTATGGAAAGAAGGAAATTAAGATGTAATTTTAAAGAGAGAGGGTAAAGATATAAATCTGTGATCACTCAAAAAGATTGTAAGCTGGTTCTTTACCATTTTTCTCATTTCTGTTTCTTTTCATTTCTGTTTCCACTTTCTTATGCATTCCATCTTATTTTCTTCGCTGCTTTTTTAATTTTTGCATTGTTTTTATCTCATTAAAAACTTCTTCAGTTAATGTAAATTTTGCTGTCATCTCCTTTTTCATCTCACACTCCAAATGTACAGGATGTGGTTTGAACATTGAGTGTAGGGTGCTTATGCTTCAACCTATTTCATTTTAAATATTTTCCTTTCTGATAGGATGCCATTTCCCATTTCAATTTTTCACTGGCTGGGTTCACACAACATTCTAGACTAGGATAAAAAACAGTAGCTTTTTTTGGGGGGTGGGGGGTCTCGTATGTTGTAGGGAAGCAGCCATTGTCTTAGTCTGGGGTGCAAAGTAGTCCAGCACTTTAAACCATAAACCGTCGTAAGTTTTATTTCTTTGGGCATCCCTGGTGAGATCATAATCTTTTAACCCCTTGTGGGTTGGAATCTGGGCAACCAAATGAAGCTGAGTGTTTACTGGCCGGATGCCCTTCCTGTCGCCAGGGCAGAGTTTTATTCAGCGGATATATATTCTCATCCTGCCCAGAGAGAGAAATATCTGCCTCTCCCTAGGATCGAACTCACAGCCTCCTGATTGTGAGGTGAGAGCGCCACCTCTACCACACCACTCAAGATGAGATGAACTGAGCAACTGTTTGCTCCACTCACTTTGGGGTTTATAGTGTGTCGTGTGAACCCCATCCGTGTCAAGATTTGGCAAGCGCAGCCAAATCACTGCTCCTTTAAAAGATGAAATAAAATTTTGCGGTCAAAGCTCTCCTAGGTAAAGGTTCCCCTCGCGCCTACGTGCTAGTCGTTTCCGGCTCTAGGGGGCGCTGGTGCTCATCTCCGTTTCAAAGCCAGAGAGCCAGCGCTGTCCGGAGACGTCTCCGTGGTCATGTGGCCGGCATGACTCAACGCCTTCGAAGGCGCACGGAACGCTGTTCCCTTCCCACCAATGGTGGCCCCTGTTTTTCTACTTGCATTTTTTTTTACGTGCTTTCGAACTGCTAGGTTGGCAGAAGCTGCTGGGACAAGGAACGGGAGCTCACTCCGGTATGCGGCGCTAGGGGTTCGAACCGCCGAACTGCCGACCTTTCTGACTGGCAAGCTCAGCGTCTGAGCCACTGCCTCCCTCCTAGGTTGCCTTTAAAAGTGCTTCTCAATTACCAGAAAGTGACAACATGCAGGCACTGACCCGTCCCTCAACGTTCTTGTATATTTCTTCTCTAGTTGTCCTTGCCCAGCAAGTGACGGTCCGCCATGAGCTCACCGGGTACCTGGGGAAGAAAGTGATCTTGCCCTGCAGTATTGCGCTAACTGGGCCTGACGTGAAGCTCAGTCAAGTGACCTGGGTGAACGAGATCGGAGGCCGAAGGCAGAATGTGGCCGTCTACCATCCGAGCCATGGACCATACTACCCAATGGAGAAGAACAGCAGGAGGATCCACTTCCTTGTTGAATCCTTGACGGATGCCACGCTGGTCATTGAACACCTCCTCATGACGGACGAGGGCACCTACTCTTGTGAGTTTGCCACCTATCCCTACGGCAACGAAGTCGGCACCACCAAGCTGATCGTCTTAGGTAAGACTTGCTGTCATGCCCCTGTCGGAAATCTGATTCGGAGGGGGGAGGCCGAGCAGCCGACGGGGAGTGTGGCTCCGTTGGCTGTGGAGGAAACTGGGGAAAGGCAAAGTCCGGCTGGGCAGAGCAGGGGAGAGGGAGAACAAGGGAGAGGGAGTTCAGAGGAAGACCTAGGCCCACCCCCTCTTCATCCTAGGGCACGCAGGGAGGAACAGAGGAGGGAGCAACATGAGTGATTCACTTAACAACCGGGGCAAAATTCACTTAACAACTGTCTCGCTTAGCAATGTTGGGCTCCATTGTGGTCATAAGCCGAGGACAGGCTGTATTACAACCTAGATCAAGAAAACAGAATTTTACTATTCCTTGGGTCTGTTTCCTAATTGACTGACCCTGAAGTTGACTTTTGAATCCTAAAAAAATCTATATCGAATATTTTCAGCTCATACCCGGTAACATTCCTCCTGTGAGTTTTATCTCTCTATATAAAAGCGAAATACCCCTCGTGCATCATCACAAAATCTCCAGAACCATAAGGCCTACAAACTTGAAATTTGGCACATATCTTCCTCTTGGCATCTAGGTGCTCACTAAGAAAGGATTTTTCCGGATGACCACCAGAGCATTAGTATATCCTATATTATTATTATTAACACGCTCTGATGCTAAGGAGTTCTACTCCCCCTCCCACACCTGAAAAGAAATCTCTTCCATATACAAAACACAAGAGAGGAGTTTCAGTTTCAGGGCACCAAGCAGCTTTAATATAGAACAGTTGAGCTAAGCCACGCCCAGGCTCCTTGCTGTCTACTTGCTCCCATAGCAAATACTCTTTCAGTTTCCAAACAGCCCTCAACTCTCACACACATTGACAGTAGGCTAGCCAAATGACTAACGATGGATGCTTGTAGGCAGAATTCCCCCCCCCACACACACACACACTTATTTTCCTCCTCAAAAACTAAGCCCAATCACATAGTTTCGTAGCGAAACACGGGTATCGAGCTAGTAATTTTATAATTTTTGAAAGGCAACACAACAACAACAACAACAAAAATCGGTTAAATGAATGAATGGCTGTTTGTAAGTGAGAAAGAGAATTTTAAGAGACCCAAAGGCAAAGGCAACAACGCACTCTTCTGAAGAACCCAGTCGGCTGCTTAAGAGTTTATTTATTTATTTGCAAAACTACCCCAGCCTTGCCCGAGTCCTCTGGCGTTGTGGGCCTTTAGCCCTCTGGCTCCCCAAATGAGTGAAGCCAACCACATCTGTTTCTCCGTACATCTGGTACTCAAGTGTTCCTGACGGTTTTGAGTGACTTCCTGGGGGCTGTTGTGCACTTAAGCAGATTTGCTAGGTCATGCATTCTAGGACCGCGAGATAGCGGTGTGTCCCCATTCTTCCAATTAATTACGGGCCACTCATTTATTGCATGATGAACTCGGCTAATGACACTAGCAATAGGTTCTTTTGCGGAGCAAAATTAACACACACTACCCCCCACAAAAGGCTGGAGTCTGCTCAGACCTAACACTCCTCCTTCGGAATCATTTCTCCAAATGTTCCCTGCAGAGATATTTGGTAAGGGGCTCCTCTTTAGAACTACGGAGAAATTTCCTGACCGTTAGAACAATTAATCAGTGGGACAACTTACCTCCAGAAGTTGTGAATGCTCCAACACTGGAGGTTTTTAAGAAGAGGTTGGATAACCATTTGTCTGAAGTGGGTTTCTTGCATAAGCAGGGGGTTGGACTAGAAGACCTCCAAGGTCCCTTCCAACTCTGTTATTCTATTCTATACCTTAAGAAAGCGGCTGATTTAAAATGCAAGGTTTCTGCATTTTGCAATTCTGCAGGAGCGCGGAATATGGGACCGGGCGAGGCCCTCTTCCGGAAGGGAGCCTTGCTTTTCTTACTTTAAAAAAACAAAACAAAATGAGATAATCCTCCACTTAGGACCACAATGGGCACCAGAATTTCTGATGCTGAACAAGGCGGTTGCCCAGGGAGTCGTTCCCAAGTTTTAATACCTCTTTTGCCACTGTTGTTAAGTGAATCGGGCAATCATAAAGCCAATCTGGCTCCCCCCACCCCCCCATCATTTACATCGGAAGTCAGCTGGGAAGGTAGCAAACGGGGATCACGTGACCGCAGGATGCTGCAACTGTCACATAAGTCCATGCCAGTGGCCAAGCTCTTTGGACCACGTGACCATAAATTGTAACTACAAGGATTGGTCGTAAGTCACTTTTTTTCCACCCCCATGCCAATGTAACTCAGGACAATCGCTAAATGAACATTCGTAAGTTGAGGATTACCTGTGATGTAGAATTGCATAATAATAATCATCATCATCATCATCATCATCATCAGAGATGTGGAGTTATTTCTTGAGCAATGCCTGCTTGAAATTTTTGAGACCCTATGGAAGGCTGTGCAAAAGTTTTCAGCAGTTTGGGGTAGCACCAATTCATGTGGCAGCCTGTTCCACTGGCTAATCATAGTTCAGCCAGGAAATACCTTTTGACATCAAGCCTGAAATTCCTTCCTGAAACTTTTAAGGGGTTCTTGCCCTTTGGGTAAGCAATGAATGAGACCCCACTTTTTATCTATGTGGCAACCAGTCAGGTATTTGAAGAGTGCTTCTCCTGTTGACTGAATGTGATCAATGCAAGAAAGTTTCCAGGAGTCCACGTTTTTGTACAACTATTTCTGAAACAAAAAGTTAAACCTCCCGAACAATAGTTGAATCCTAACCTCCATCTTATGTCTCCCCACCCACCCACCCCCCGTTTTTTTTTTTTGTTTTGTTGACCTGTAAAACTCAGGTATCTCCTGAGAATGATTTTGCACACGTTGTAATTACAAACAATTATAGGGATTTTTGCCCTGTGCATTCTACACAGACTTTGGATGCTTCTTTGCCCTGAATTTCTTATGATTACAGGGGGAATCTGTGGGAAACTTCCAAGCACCTCCCTTTCTCTTTTATCTGGAAATCCCATTCATTTTACTTCCAAGCATGGCAACCCCCTCCAGGACTTTCTCTCCGAAATAGATGGCACCTCTGGGTGGGGAGATCTGGCAAACGATGAGAAAATGTTGTCCTCTCCTTTCCCTCCCACCCACCCACCCCCCAAAAATGTTGTGTTTACGCTCTGCAAATTACTTGCAAACAAAGGTCCCCGGACACTATCTTTGAAACTAGCCTAGGGGATCTTTCCTCCATGCCTGCAATGGGGCAGGGGTCTTCAGAGAGATTGGGTGATGCAAAGAAAACATTAGGCTCCAATTAGAAACCCATAAGTCCTGGCTGGGAGAGGGGCATAATCCCCATAATTTAAACCAGGGGTGTCCAAGCTTGGCAACTTTAAGACTTGTAGACTTCAATTCCCAGAACTCCCCAGTCAGCAGGCTTGGAGTTCAACTCCCAGAATTCCCCAGTCAGCAGGCTTGGAGTTCAACTCCCAGAATTCCCCAGCCACCATGAATGGACTTCAACTCCCAGAATTCCCCAGTCAGCAGGCTTGGAGTTCAACTCCCAGAA